TGTCACATATGCTAAGGAAAAGCATGTTACTTTTCCTCATGCTATTTGTCTGTCTTCAGGCAGGTGTTCAGCAGTTTTGGCTTTACCATATTGATTAGGATAAAAAGCTGGTTTTGAATGTCCTAATCTTCTTGCCTTCCCTCTATTCTGGTGTAACTAGGGATGACATTATTTAGGTGTTATGACAGAAGTCAGCAACACACTCAAATTTCACTACTGGTTGGAGGGGGGAAAAAAAAGTGCAATTGATTTGCCCCAATGGTATTATAGCTGATAGAGTGACTATCAAGCCCTGAAAAGATATCCCTGTAAGTTATGGAAATACCTCTGAATGCAGCATTCTGGATACCAGACAAAAGGCAGATCCATTCTTAAAAAAATAAATAAAACCCATCCTTTGAACTCTGCAAAAGAACAGAGCAAAGCATTAGTCAGTGGCTGCAAATAAATCCAAGCTTGGCTGCTGGCTGCGTTACCTGTCAGCAGTCCCAGAGCTGGCTCAGGGCTTGTTCTGGCTGAAGAATCTGTCGAACTGAGTGTCCCTGCAAGGCACACAGCCTCTCTGGCTCAGCAAGAGGTGACTCTGGGGCTCTGTCTGGCTCTGCCGTCCTGCCCTGCTCTTGTGTGGCTTACAGTCTCATGACAGCACTGCAGTCATGTGTGTCATCAACTGACTCCTCCTGGTGCTCCCAGGGGACAATTCCACCAGCTTTTAAGTTGTTCGTGCTAGATGGGGTGGGCAAGGGAGAAGACACTAAACATCACGGAGCCTTGTATGGGGAAGGAAAGATCCTCAACTTGGAGAACTTGATGTTCAAACATAGATGTTCATCAATTTGTGTGTCATTAGCCACCGTGCAAATGAAAACTTTCCCTTGAACTACAAACCCGCCGTTTCTGCTGCTTACCTTGACCCAGCTTGTAGATGTCTGTATTAATGCCAGTTATATGAAATGTCACCTTTGAAGTATTTTTTGTTAAATACACAAGTAGAGCTTTGTATTTAACTAATTGTGAATTAATGTCTGTAGAGTGTGAAATAGCATTTTTAAAGTTACTTCTATCCCTTGCATTTTTTTCTGTGAACTGTCTCTCCCTCTCAGCATTGCTGCTGCTCACACCACAAGCTTTGGTATTGTTTGATGCTTTAGTGATGTTCAAGCTTGTCTTTCATCTGATAGCTAAAGCTTTATACATGTACTGTAAGAATGTAATGTAACACCTAGATCACAAGTTTAATGGCTGCTTGTACTCTGGCAGTAAAGCTGTAATAGCCTTCCAGTAGGGTTTTTACTATTCCTAGTTGTTTTCTTTTTTTCCTGCCCCAGGGCTCACTTTGGTACAGTACACTTTTGAGCAGCCTTACTATCTCAATAAGTAAGGTCTCTTATGCTTGCATTAACACCTGAACAGCTCCAACTGTAGGGTGTGTTTTTGTTCAGTGTTCTATGTATGCAGTACAGGTTAACATAGTTTACCTACACCTCCTCTGCTTTATGGAAAGCTACTTTCTTTTTTTAATGTAAGAAAGTAAAAACGGCTCTCAAAATACAGCCCTACTGTTAAGGAAGCTGAATTGCTCTTAAAATACTGAGTAAGATGAAACTCAGCTCTCAGACCTTGGTTACTGCTGCAAGCTGGTCTTGAAAGCAGAAAGGAATTAGGAAATTTCTAAGTTGGTTGCACAGAGGGACATGTGTTTTCACAGTAACTATACAACTTCATACAGGTTTCCAGCTCTGGAAGCTGTATCCTCCATAGTCCTCATGTAAAGTAAGTCCATAACATGCCAGACTAGTTCACTGGGAGGGTAACAGGGTCATTAACCCTGAAGCAGCAGCCTTGATTCAATTCTAGATATCAGTCATGGCCATAGCATTCTCTGGTCACATTGCTGAAACAGTGTCCATTCTGGAAAAAATGGCACTGAAACAAAGCCTTTGGGATTCAGCAAAATGAATTTTGCTTTTTATTGTAACTTTACTTTGAATACAGTGTCATTTGTGCTTCTGATTTCTGACCAGACATCTCTTTTAGAAAGCCCTAGTCCTCATATAAAGCCCTGGCCTATAATAACTGCAGCTTAATCATGTGATGGAGAAGGCAGGTTGGATAGCATTTTACTTAAAAAATTATTTCCACAGGAAATGATTTGATTTACATTTTTCACTAAATTAGTTCATTTACCAACTGGTTACAAAGGCTACATTGAATTAAAACTATCCACACAGGTATTTCCTTCCTATTGCACTTTTAGAGTAGATTCAAGTCCATCACAGAAAGGTTCTTGCAGCTCAAGTGGATGGATGAGTTTGTGATCATAAATGCACATAAGATGTCTGTAGCAACTGGATACAAATTAATCCTGCAAAAGCTGAGATATACTGAAATGAGACCAATGTCTTCAAACTCAGAGCAATTTCCTAAATTTTTGACTGTGGGAAGGGCCTGGAGCCCACTCTGTGAGCTGCTGGCAGGTGCTGCAGTCAGGGCTCTACGCTGGAGGCCGTGCATAGTCCTTTGAGCCCTTTGGCAGCAGGTTAGTCTCTGGGTGCTGACGGAGGCAAGTCTCTGCTAGGAGGAGGAGTATAGTCTCTGGAAGCTTGAGGTTGTAGCCGTGGGCCTGGAAGATAATCCCTTGGGCCAGGAGGCCCCAGGGGTCGAAAAGGAGGGTGCCCATGGGCATAGCCTCTTGGATCTGGTGGAGGCAGTAGAGGGCCAGGAGGCAAATCTCTTATTCCTAAACGCGGACCAGGTAAGAAATCTCTTGCAGCTGGAGGTGGCAAGGGAGCACCACAAACTAGGAGGAAAGGAAATCATGGAGTTAAATGAAATCCCGCTTTAACCTTAACAGTGAAGCACCTGACTCATGCCCCACTGCTTCATTTTCTGGGGCAGCTCTAGGGCAGGTCACTGTCACATGCAAACTTCAAAGTCCATGAATTATATTCTGGGGACTTTTGGCTGCTGATTTCCATTTTAGACTTTACAGGGAAAAACACCTTCCTACCTAATACCTTGGCCTGAAAGAAGCCACACAGTCCAAGCTTACTGAGCAGGACAGCTAGAGCCCCTGGAGCACTGGGAAGCTTTGTGCTGAGGACAAGCAGACCTTGGCTCTGCAGTCAGATCCTGAGAAGTTTCAAGCACAGGGCAATGCAACCATACCTTGGGACACGGGAAGAGGTCGAGGCCCTAAGTGCCCACGGAGAGGAGCTGGCGGTGGTCCATAGTGAACAGGTGGTGGATGTGGAGGTCCCATCACCAGGGAGGTCATGAGGGGTGTCCCAGGGAAAGGGGATGGGCCTTTGGCACTAGCACTACCCTGTACAAGAAAAGGTCATACTTCAGTGTGTTACTCACTGCATCAGAGAAGTACTGACACTGCTGAACACAACCACTCACCCAAAGGCCAAGACATGGAAGAGAGGTGGGGGGAAGAAAGAAAAGAAAACTAACATATCCCCATACACATTAACTTGGGACAGTTACTGCACCATAATCGTCCCTTCACCCAGAACACTGCTGGCACTACCCAGGAGTGAGTGGTTAGTGACATGCTAAGTTTTCATAAGTTGAAGATGTACTAAAGAAAAGTTCAATCCCTTTTGAAGTGTACTGAGTGGACACTCCTTTGGTAAAGGGCCTAGAACTTTGAATTGCACATGGAATTGTGCTTGAACACCACAGGTAAGTCAGCTGATTAGGGTTAGTGTAGTCACTCCAAAGTGCTTGCCCACAGTCCTTAAGAAACATCTCAATTCCACAAAAACCCAACAGCAACTGTCCATCATTAGAGAAGCCCTTTGAGACAGAGGCACGAGCCCTTGTTAGTTCTGCAGGTTGTTTGTCAGCAGTTCAGAATGCCAAGCGTGTTACTCTCCATCAAAGCAGCCTAACACCATGCTCAGCCTCCAAATACTCACTGCAGCTGGGTCAGTGGACGAAGGTGAACTGGTGATTACACTAGGGGCTTCAGGCTCTTTGGCAGAGGGTTGCTTTGGGGGGTTTTTGGACAGCAAATAGGAAAGTGACAAGATACAGACAAGACACAACATGATATAGATAAAGAAGCAGCAGGAAGTACAGTGAATCATGTATTAGAAATGCTTCCTGAAGGTTGAGGTTTTCTCAGCTTACCCCTCCATCCATTGCTGTGGAAGGGGAGGAGGTTCTTGGCTCACTGCTGATCAGGGATGGCACGGCAGGGCCGATATCTGGAAAGAGAGTCAGAAATCCATGTCTTACTGGGCATGGGGTAAGGCAGGTGGGGTTGAAACAGCATTTTTGAAGAGAAAGCGTAATGGAGTAAGTAGCAGTTGGTTGCAGACCACATGACTTACCAGGAACAGGCATCCTTCCAGGAAGCTCTGGTGGCCTTCGTGGAACAGTGGGGCTATCCACCACTGTACCTTAAAGGAAACAAGAACCCCAGAGACCCCAATCAACACAGGCCTGAGCTGTTCCTATTAAAAATAAACCCCCACCAATCACTCATTTGTGTATTAATAAAGCAAGTATTGATACTTAACAGTATCCCTAGAACCAAGATCCAACCTTAGCATGGGTTTGTAGCATAAGAGAACTCTTAGAAGGGAAGCTTTACTGCTTACCAAATTCACCCCTTCGAGGAGCAGAAAGGGGCCGAGCAGGAACTTCTATCATCTGTGTGGGGGATGGATTTCCTCCACTGACAGGTGACGGGCCAGAAGAGCCATCTCTGCTTAAGGGCCCTATGCCAAAGGATTAAAATCACATTACTTAATTTTCTACAAGTTATCATAGCCTTGGGTTTTTTTATGCTGTACTGACACCAAGACCAAAGCTTTGGGAGAACCAGCAGCATTTACCTCGTCGTGGTGGGACTTGGCGATCAGGTCTGCCTGGAGTTGGCTTTACAATTACTGGTCTCTGAAGCATGGCAATCTTTTGGTTTACTTCTATTAATCTGATTTTGAAAAACAAAGGTTTTTCCTTGATTATTGAAACCGTACATGTGAGTTACATTTGTTATAACATAACAAGGCAAGCTACATTGTAAACCATTCCAGCTTTCACCAAGAAATCCTATTTGACCATTAAAACAGTTTAAAAGTAGTTAGAATTAGTTACTCGAGTGTGCACTGCACATTCTGAGTGAGCAGGCTGAGCACCTGGCACTGCTTGAGCTGCTTCGCTCCCAAGCAACATACAGTTTCAAGGGGCAATAAAAAGTATCGGTCCTGTACTCACTTCTGTCTCAGGTTGGCTGCTTCTCTCTTTTCTTCAGCCAGAGCTCTCTCGGCCGAGCGGGCATTAAGCTAGTAGGGAAAATTTTTCCAGCTGCATGAACTGCACCAATGTGAAGTCAAATGTAAGTCACACTGTTTGCAGCAGAAAAGGAAGAACATTCTTACCCAATTTTCATGTGCCTTTTTCTCATGAGCAGCAATCTGAGAAGAAAAGAAGCAATTTAGATTTTGTTCAAGTAGCAGTATTTCCAGTAACTCACTTCAGAGCACTGTAATGATGCAGTAAAAGGCAACACAATAACCAGCAAGCAAGAAGTTTACCTGGTTCTTGTAAGATCTCTCTGTTTTTAGCAATTCTTCTTCCATATCCTGGATCCTTTGCCTGTACAAAAGGAAGAAGAGGGGAAGGAGAGAGGTTTGAATGAATTTTCTCCTTAGGTGGAATAAAAGGAAAACCATGATCTTCAGGAACTCAAGTTACTTGTAAACTTTCACTTCCTCAACGGCCAGCACAGCTTTTTCATCTGCAGCACACAATTTCTGCTCCTTCTCCTGACGCTCATACTCTTCCTGGGTTAGTTTTCTGCAGAGGAGAAAAAAAAGAAGAGTCATATAGTCACCACTCTACATCTACTACAACTCAAAATCAAGGTATTCCTCTGCTAATGACTGTGATATCAGAAATTATAATAGTATGTGAGAACACAAAGAGGAAAAAAAAGATTTTGTTAAAAGAAACAGAAATACTATCTTTTGAAACCAACAGACAAACCCTTTGTGCAAAAAACCCTAAAATTAAGCACACAATTGACTAGAAAGTTCTATCAGTATCTGAAGATTTGTCACAATCTATCAACTGCAGACAGTTCATCAGATCCTGCAGTTTTCTTACCAGTTCTACTGAGGGCAATACAGATTTACAAAGGTACAAACCAGCAAATACACTGAACTGGCATTAAATAAAAGAAATGAAGAAATGGTTGTGTAGCAAAAAGGGGGGAATTTAGGGCCCAGGTGACAAATACATTCAGTAGTCATTAACTGTGTAGAAAGAAGATTTTTTTTCCCTAAATATTACCCAAACCAATTTACTATGTGACCAACTTCCACAATCTTTTTATAACCTCATAACCTCAGAGTTCACTTTTTTTTTTATTTTTGACATTTTTCTGGAAGTATTTAAGAGGTCCATAATATGTTCCTAACTTACAAGAGCTATCCAGAAAGCTGGAACCATTAAAGTAGTAGCAAGTTAACTACTGATAATAGTCAGCTGAACATAATCCATGGCCTTGGCTACAATGTTGAAGCAGTTTTCTAGGAAAAAAAAAAAAAAGTTCCTCGTTCCAATCAAGAAGTAGTAACAGGCAGTGCAACCTCCTGAAAGTTTTGGAAGGAACAGAAATTCTTCACAGAGGTCAAGAGGAAGTGTTCCTTAAAAGGTGGGCTGTCCTTCACCTGTCCACTATGTGTTTACTACATGTGGATCCTGAAGTTATGAGCTAGGACAGTTTCACTATTGTACAGTTTTTTAGCTTGTTCCAACCCTGTGATTCTCCCAACTTACACACTCAAACCTCAGAAATTTCAATTGATTCTCCACCACAATTTCAGCTTTCCCACAGAATTTAGCTGAAAATGTCCCTGAATCCTGTTCTCAAACTTTCCCCACAAAACTGAGATGGTGTTACAGACATTCCAGTAAGTAAATAAATGAGGAATGAACACAGATAGACAATAGCTCCTCTCTGCTCACAGTTCGTTTATCTCAGCCACCATCACCAACTCAGCCTTAATTTAGGCCTTTGAGAATGCAAGGAGCTCACCAGGCTAAAACACTAAGTTTCTACATTTTGAGAATTAGACTCACTGAAGTCAGAGTAACTGAAACAAATCTTAATGGCCACTATTATTCTTGACAAAGAGCAATCACAGACTTTGCAGGCAAAGCCACATATCTCACCTCTCCACAAATTTAAAAATAGAAGGCAATAATGTGTCTGCAATGTGTTCATGGTCTCTTTAGAATTCTGGAATGGTGGAAAAAGTCAAAAAAGGGTACTAGCTCCAACTGTACTGAAACAGTAGTCATCATCATTCCAACTAGAAGTTCAAGTTATTTGATCCTTCTGAGCAAAGAGCATTTGGACAGTGGCTGCAATACAACACTGTGCTATGGCAGAGTAAGGAATGGCTTAAAGACTTACTTTTGAAGTGCCATCTCCTTCTGCTGGTAGAGCTCACCAAGTATCTCCACTTTCTGCTGCAGAGTTTTGCATTCATTTTCCAGTTGAGTGTTGGTTGACTGGAGCGAATAGGAGTCATGTTCCAACGTTTTTATTTTCTCTGTTGGAGGACCAAATGTAGGTGAGAAAGTTAAGTTGCAATGAGAACCATTATGCCACTTATACATGGGGTTCTTTTAAACCACAAACTGCACCTCATCCTAAGGAATTCTTTTGCTGAGCCTACCTTCCAGCTCATGTCTCGCCGTTACTTCATCATTCAGTTTGGACTGCAGAAGATTTCTGTCTTCTTCAACTATGGATAACATAGTTTTTACCTGAAAAGAAGAGCACAGAATTAATAACCATAGGCATAGCAGTAATGTGGCCACATTTACTAGATATGTCATGCAACTTACCCTGGAGACATCCATCATCTGCTTAATCTGAGTCTTCATCTTCTCACTCTCAATATCTAAAAGAGAAAAATATATTTGTTCTCCCTGTTTCTTAACCCCAAGTCCTTGCACACTACAGCTGTAAAAAGTAACACTCCATACACTTTAATCTGGCATAGGTCTCCTTACATGGTTTAAAAGAACCCCCAACCAACCAAATCCAAGAGGGGTAGGTGGGAAACAAAGCACAAGAGCAAATCCACGACCAGCACAACAAAGCTAATAGATTTTTCCAAAAGGCATTCAGAAGATTCCTTCTTGTCACCTTCTGGACACCACACTAATATTAATGTGACTGCAGCATCTATTACTGGGCATAATACTTGAAAAACAAAAAGTGGGAATTTCCATCCCACATATACCATATGTATAAAAAGAAAAATAAAGAGAAATTTTAAAAATTTTAAAAATTAAAAGATTATTTCAAAACCAGAGATGTAGCAAATACATGTGCAACACGACAGATAACAAACTGTCTGGTGAGTTTTGAACACATCAATTTTCATCTTTCAGATTTAAAAAGTGATTGCCTAAATCAGTTAGCTACCTGAAGGCAAACAGAATGCTCATTAAAAATTTATAGCAAAACTAAATGTACCAGAGCAACAAAGCTGAGACTCTCTGCTTTTGGAATGTTCTTAATTACTAACAATCTTACTTACACACAATCTTTACAACTGTGTCATTACACTCATGATTTACCTCGGTAGTCTAATAGCCATTACTGGCCTTTTTGACAGCTCCTCCCTTCAGTCAGGGGATATTTTGGTTTTGAGGATTAAAGCTGGCAGCCTCTTAACCCACAGGCAGCTATATGCATGGATTCCCCTTGTTCCTCTATGCCACGACATGAGCACACCACCACACATGCTCCAGCTGCCGGGCGGATCAGCCAACAGGTAGGATTACTGTACCTGGCAACTCTCCATTGGCCAGATCATCTGCTGAGCTCCATCCACACCCTTTGTCATCCTTCCTGGCCTCTGAATCCATGTCCAGCTGCTTTAACTGCATAATGCAGTTAGTTAAAACCTAGGAATGAAATCAAAGGTTCACTGAGGAAGAATCACTCCACATTTTGTAGAGTATGACAAAGCATTTTGTGCTGTACAAGCTTTAAGGCAAGCTGGTTATAAAGAACCTACTTCAATTTCATTCTCTTTGTAGGCAAGTGTTTCTTCTATGTCCTTCTGGGATTTCTGATACAGTTGGATCTGCTCACGGAGCTCACTATGCCTCTCGCTCCAACCTTCAGCTTCTTTTAGCAGCTGTATGAAGCATCAAGACAAGATGATTACTTGCTTTATTTTTAGTGCTGGGTGTACATACTTAAAGCCTATTTTACTGCCAGCTCTAGTGATAACTGATCACCACAGGTCATGGATAAAGGTTAAACCACACAGTTATCAGGCTCATTGCTGTTTCACTGGCAGAATTGGATGCTGAGAATCTTCCTGCAGCTTATTATTAGCTGATTTTACAAATTTGACATTTCCTCAGCCAATATCCCAACACCAGAACCAAACTGCTCACACCCTTCAAAACATGAGGAATTAACTGCAGTCCAGAGGTAATCAAAACACATTCCTTAAAAGGCCATCTACTTCTTATATGGAGAAAGGAAACATATTTACAATCATTTGTAAAATACTGTTATGACACTCCAGGGCTAAAGGTCTTCCCGACTCAGCTTCACTTCAGAATTGCTTTTTGGCAATCCTTTACCATTACTTCATTGAGTCCTGATCCCAAGTGGAAATCTCTTGGTCATGCAGTGACTACCACATCAGCACAGACTTTCTGTCAAGCTGTTGACAAAATCTGAATCATGCAAACTGGCAAAGCTTTCATGTCAGAGACATGTGGCACAACAGCACAAAAAGCCTGTGCACCCAGGCACAAGGGGCTTAAATTTTATCTTGATAATAAGAAATGTGGAATTCTGCCATGTTAACAAAACAGAGACACACTGAAGTTATACTCAAAAAACTAGGAATAAAGCCCTGATATTTCCTTTGAAAGACAAGGTTTCCTGGCCTGGGCATAACTTACTTGCTCTTTACTCTTTTTCAGCCTGGCATTCTCTTCCTGCACATGATGAAGCTCAGATTTCACCTTCTCTTCACTTAGTTTAGCTTCATTAAGGGCTATCTGCACCTACATCCAAAACAAGAAAGGAACAAAAAGATAAAGTCACATTATAATGGAGCAAGAGCTACATATGACCTGGTAAAATGGCAAAGAGAAAGGTATATATGCACAAACAACCTGGAACCTGCCAAGCTAGAAGCTTCTATTACATAGACATGAATTTTCCTGATACAACAACTTATGACTGTTGAGGGTGCAGGTAGTGCTTTACCTCTGAAAGCTCTGCAGAATGCACACTGATAGCCTCTTGAAGTTTCTCCAAGGACTTCTGGGTCTCAGAGATCTATGTAAGAAAGAGATGAGTAGTGACTTAGTATTAGCCTAGTACATACCTCAGCCTAAGTAATTATTTCCCCTGTATCATCTGGAAGCAGAAAAGAAAAGTCAAAACACCATTTAAAGCAGCCATTACACTGGCAGCAACATAGCACTGCCTTATCAACAACATAAGGAATAAAAACATTCAGCACATTAGAGTCAACTTCCAGCTATGACTCCACCTGTTTGTGGTCTGGAAGTTCTCCGCACACCTGCGCAGTCAAGAAGGAAAGTGACATGTGCTGCTGCCATCAGCAGCAACCTTTGATCAAAACAAGACTGAAGAACTTGTTGATAGAGGAAAAAACAGGCTTTGAAAAGAAGCAGAAAAGAGAGAAAACCTAAGTATCTCTGGTCAAAAAGAACAAGGGGCAGCTTACTGGAGAACTAGATAACTTCTCTAGGCACAAAAAAATGTCTCTTACCAACCCAAAACCTTCGGCTTATATTATCAATAAACTTTCTAGCTTCAGCTAGGAAGCATTAGAGTTAGCCCATGGCTTGAATACATCTATTTGCATGTGAAAGCACATAACCACAAAAGTCCATCAACACATTACAAAAATAAAACAACAAACCAAACAACCAAAAAACACCCCCCAACCACCAAAAGAAAACCACAAAAATCCCAAACAGAATAAATCTACAGATTAATCCTTTGAGTTTGGGATGAGCCTTAAATTTCATTTTGGTTCTCTTTATGAGATGGCTCACCGTGTTTGTTATACCTCTGGCTAACCCACCAAGTTGCGAACAGTTTTTAGGGCACATCGAGTTATGGATGATGTCAGACATGAATGTGAATGCTCTAACCTTATTCTGTTTCTTCTCATTCTTTTTTCTCTCTGTTTCAAGCATTGTGTGCAGATTTTTCACTTTCTCATCCAGCTGATGATTTGATTCTTCCAGTTCTTTGACAGTGTCCTTAAAAAAATCCCAATGGGTAAACGACCAACTAAAACAAACTATTTTAAATTGATATTTTGCTTTCAGTACAGAGAGGGTTAACTGCCTCTTACTTTGAGCCCTGTAGTTTCATCAGACAAAATGTCTTTTTGCTCTTGGGCCACTTTCACGGATTCCTTTGCTTCTTTTATCTAAACACAGAAACAACCACACAGAACTGAGGAAATTGTCAACATAATAGTCAGTACGAATAGAAAATAAAAATATACTAGCTGTTGCATTGACTGTGTCATTACAGCAATAACAGAAAATTAGGAAGCAAAGGACAGTGTAGAACAATACCTTTTGATCATATTCTGACAACTTTTCTAAGATCTCTGTTTTTTCTTGCAGAAGCTTTTTAATCTTTTCAGCAAGTTGCTTTTCAGTCACTAGGAAAAAAAAAGAAAGCTCACAGTAACTGTACTTCATATACTGGGGGAAAAGTCAGCTATTGTTACTACCACTTTAGGGAATGTTTTAAACTTAAAAGCATAGATGACGATAGTGTCAATTCCTTGGCAGTCAGCCCTTTCTGCATAAGTCTAAACCTCTCCAGCTTTCACTTAATATAAGGATTGAAAAGAAGATAGTAAAGCATTGAACACTGACAAAAAGTACATAGCTCCTGCATCGCCTTCCCAGGAGCTGGTCACAAAACCCAGAGCAGAGTCAGGTGCTGGCTACAGCTTCAAGAACAGAACTGAGTGAGGATCTTGAAGCAGTCTCAGACCTCTGTTCTGACACTCAGGGAGACGTAACACCTTCCTCAAGGAACTGCACTGCTCAGACCTCAAAAGGGCTGTGACCATGCAAGTGTCCTTTAGGCATGCATTTGTTCCTCACCCTAAACAAGCTGCCAACCAATCCTTAGGATTCAATGAAAATCATTAACATACTTCAGTTATTTTATTGCAAATTACACCCAATTGTTCTTCTTTCTCAAGACCTAAACCACCTCCATCTGTATGTGAATGCCCCAAGTGCCATTTGCCTTGCAGCAAATCCTGCAGCACAAACAAGAAGCACTGGTTGTTCCAGCTGCATCCCAGAGTGCAATGCCAACTGCTGCTACTCCTTCCCCTCCCACACAAGGGCTCCTGGGACAGTGCATCCCTAGCGTTCCAGGTCTGGGGAGAGAAGAGCTAAGAAGGGACTGCTGAGAGACAA